CTTCTCTTGTTTTCGCCGACTGGATCTGCATCTTAGCCAACATTCCAAATCCTCTCCAAACCATTACAGGAAGTCTGGAACTCTGGCTGATCACCATTCCTGAGCTGATCAACAGCACTGTGAATCCAGTCATTTACAGCGCTGTCAGCCAGCAATACAGAGCTGCTATGATCCCAGCCTTCCACTGCTGTAAGGATCGGATCAGAAGACAAAGATCTGCCATTCCAAGACAAACGGCTTGTGTAGCAGACCATGACAACATAACCATGTAAAACCTCAATCCCTGACAACCACTGCACTTAAACTGACAGTTACTGTGAAACCCAACAACAAAAAAGGGAAATCAACTGGCTTTACCGCAGCTAAATTAAACCTGAAATGAATTTGTAAAGTAATATGGAAAAAGACACTTTAGAAGTGAATTCTTTGTCATTAGAAAGGACAAACCTTGTTCTAAACCCTTTCCTGTATCATTGGCATGTAAAAAAAGTCTAGCTCAGAAGCCCTTTTCACACATATTTTCCCAACATCAAATTCCCTTCAATTGAAACCAAAGAGTGTGGTGTTGCTTTCTGAAAATACCCACAATTCTTTGGTCAGCAAGGGCAATAGAGGTTGGCAAGAACAGGTTTTCTTCCACAGCAAGAGATAATTTAATTAAATGATGCCCACTAGTAGTGTCCTTAGCAACAGCCATCCACTATCCACTTCTTGCAGCGCCAGCGTTTAATAAATCTCAAGTGGGACAAATAAGTTCGTTTTTCACCTTCAGAGTAAATTTTTCACTATTCTTAATAATGTTTCTAATTAATAGTGACTAGTTTTTGAGTGTTTTGGGCTCTAGTACTGAGCTAAAATAAATAGAGTTACAAATGCATTTTTGTCATTCCTGTTTTGTAAAGTAACGTTACAAATGTCACATAGGCCACTGGGGCCAGTTGGAGCATCTTAAGGGAGGCTAGTTGGAGCTTGTTCCCACCAGCCCCAACATGATGACAGTATACATGTGAACAAAGTGCCGTGTGAATAAATTAAAGGTTCTACTCTATGCTAATATATTGTGACAAACAGCAAAGACTGGTGTGCAAGTCTATCTTAATTTTAATATTACACTACAATATACTGTATAGTAATAGTACAGAAGTATGTTACCCACTGGGTTACATCATTGATTTCAGGCTATTGTTAACAGCTTGGTGCTGGGCTTTAGGTTAGTGCAGGTAGATACTGCATGTGTACAGCAGTTGCACAGGTGCCATTAATCAATCTTCCTCCGAGCCTCAAATACGTATACCAACAGCTCCAATTAACCAGGGCAATCAATTGCAAGACTCAATTTCACTGAAAGGACAAACTATGGGCATGTCATCCACAAACATCATGTGCCTGTGCATGATGTGCTCATATTTTGTGGAATGCCAAATCAGATTCCTATAGTTCCATAACACTTTGATAAATTATTATTAAAGGTCAGTTAATGCTCAGTTAATGTGTCACTAAGCTAAGTGGGCTTGGATGTAAGAATTCTTACACCTCACGAAACTAGACAGTTTGTTCAAATTGGGGCATTTCCAGCTGGAGAGAGTGTGTTGCTTTTGTACAAGTGAGCTGCGTCTACAATGACTGACTGGCTGGTCAAACGCCATGTTGTTATTGTGAAGTCTCTACAAATCTTAACTACAGTCTGTTCTCCATTTACATTGCTTTCTTTTTTCCTTACATTTTCCCACCATCACATTTTTCATTTTGTTGATTTCTGAAATAGCGCTTTTGGGCCAGGTGGCAAACACGCAGATGACATATGTTGAATGATCCTCTGCCAGACTGGATTTGCATCATAGCCAATATCCTGTATCCCCCCAAAACTGCCTCCAGGAGTGCGGAAATGTGGATGATAAACATTCTTGGGCTGACCAACAGCACTCTAAATTCTTTCATTAAAGGTGCAGCCAACCAGCAATACTGAGCTGCAATAATCCAAACATTTCATTGTTTCAATGTTCGGATCAGAGGACAGCGACATGCCTCTCCAACAAACACTGCCAGTGTGGTGGACCACAGCCTCTCCAAGGAAAACCTTAATCACTGATGGCCACTGGCCATAACTGACAGCTATCACGAAACACACTTGCCCAAAAAGGGGATTGAAATGGCTTAAATGCAAATAAACTGCAGTTGAACTGAATTTGCAAAAACCATAGCACGTTGACACTTTATAGAATTGGATTCTGTTCTCTAATCCGCCTTGAGCAGAAGCACCCCCTCATTGGGCCCAAAGAGCCATGTCGGTTGGGAGTGTTCATTTTGCTAGTTGCAATGTGACAATAATGTGACAATGTGACAGAAATGTAAGGCATTCCCTGGAACACTCTCTATGAAACCAGGATGCACTACTCCAAAGAGTGATTCCTCAAACACAATGAATGGCAGTTTTTTATCACTAACTTACCTGTGATCTGTGATGTCACATTTACTTTAAGCTCTTTGATAAAAAAAAATCCCTATTGTGATTCAAACTTGATGTTGACATTATTTTTTACAGCATTGAGAGAAGTGTTTGCGGTCAAACAAGCCTGCAAAGTGAATGACTTTAAATCTGCCCCTGGGTCTCCAGGTCACGCCAACAGTCCCACTTAACTGGAACAATTAATTCAATTATGCCGCAGGTTCAATTCTGCGGAAAGTGAACCACGGAGCCACACTGTTTGCGAGCGTAATTTTGGAATGGTAAACAGCATTCATCTGGTTAATTTCGATATTTTAAGTGATGGATTACTTGATTCAGTCAGTGTGGTAGGAAACCTGACGAGTAGTTCAAACGATTCACTGCGTGCACATCCTGTTGGTGGGACTGTGAAGCCGTACGTCAAACTGGCTGCATCTACAATCATTGGCCTGTTTGTTGCACTTTTCATTGTGAAAATATCTCCAAATCTGTACTACAGCCTCTTCTCCATTTTGCTTCCTTTTCCGACACAATGCTTTCAATTTTGTGACGAGTGACACAATGCTTTGGAGTTGTACTGGCAAAGCGGGCATACTTTGAGTGACGCCCTGCAGGACTGCAGATGAGTCTGCTTGGACGATAGTAGTGGGGGAAAACTATTAGCAAGCATTAGAAAAAATATTAGCAAGATTGGAAAAGCTTGCGAGGCATTTAACTTTTATCTCCAGTGAACAGTGCACATCATGGGTGCAGGTGTGACATCTGGTGAATGCAGCCCTCAGGACATTTACAACATCAGTGAGGAGGACGTCTCTGACTGGCTTTTCACTCCTGTGGATACCACTATCATTACCATAGTCTTACCCATCATTCTAAGCCTCGGCATCATCAATAACACTACCTTTCTCTATGTCGTCTTCCGCATTCCTAAAATGCGATCTGACACCAACCTGTACTTGGCAACTTTGGCAGTGGCTGACCTTTTGCATGTCACCATGGTCTCTTTGTTTCACATCAGCCGCCACAGAGCATCTCCCGTGTCATTTCACTCACCGTTTTCCAGTTCGGCAGAATGTATCAGCTACTGGACGGTTGTGCTAACCTGCTACTTTACATCTATCGTGCTGGTGACTGCAGTGTCATATGAAAGATACTTGGCACTCTGCCAGCCCATGAGGCATCTCCAAATTCGCGGATGGCGGCGAACCTGCAAAATGATTGCCGTCTGCTGGTTGATAGGGTTTGCATTATCAGTTCCAACAGGGACAGTCCGCTTGGGATCCCTCACAGTGAGGTGTTTCCATTGGCCGGACGATGACAGGTTTGAAGATTTTCCTTCTACGTATTCCTTCTGCAACAGCTTTGATCCAAATGTCCCATACTACGTCTACCCACTACTTTGTATTCCCTGGTTTATTACGCTGGTGGTCAACTTGTATATGTATGTTCAAATAATAAGAAACTTGAATAAACGGAAGCACACTGGCCCAGGAATACAAAGGGTGCAGAGGGCGATTCAGATCCGAAACCAGGTGGCCAAGATGCTGATTGTCAATGGTGTTGTGTTCTTCATCTGCCAGACAGTCAGTCCTGTGTTCGCTTTCTCTGACTGGATCTCCTTTTTAGCCGACATCCCAAATCCTCTCCAAACGACTGTAGGGAGTTTGCAAATGTGGCTGATCACTATTCCTGAGTTGATCAACAGCATCGTGAACCCCTTCATTTATAGCACTGTCAGCCAGCAATATCGGGCTGCAGTGATTCAAGCATTTCATTGCTGCAAGGATCAGACCAAACGACAGAAATCGGACACTCCATCACATGCTGCTACTGTTGCAAACGTTGGTAACGTAGCGATTCAAAGCCCTTCTTATTACAGTTCCACTAACAGCGACCGTGAAACACAATTCTAAGAACAATTTAAACTTTAGCTGGAGACTGGTCTTGTGAAGAATGTAGCATGTTGATACTACGGAATCACAGTTTACTCTGTTATCAGTTAAGGTGACTGTCTTACTGTCCGGGAAATCCAAGTCGGCTAATAAAGTTATGTCATGATTCTGATTCTGCCTTCAAAATCGGCTTTATCAAAGTGCGGAACAGAATCATCCAAGCCTACTGACTCAGCAGCGAACAATGACTGCAGGCCAATGATGAAGACAGGGAATAGCCAACTTGTTTTGACCACTGAATAGAAAGAAGTCAACATCGGACGAGCACCCTAGAGACTTAGTACGACAGTACCCATTCTCAGGTGACAAAGGGGAGAAACTGGCCCAAAATTTCTGAAAAAAATCAGAATTGCTGACATGTGCTTCCTGCATATGCGAGGATCCTAAGGGCTTACAAATTTTAAGACACACGAGGGAGGGGTGCTGGCTCCTAGGGACTTCCTATGTCACACAACAAAGCACCCTGTCGAGTTCTGGTTGTCTGAGTTGTGAATTGAACACAGTTCTAGGTGGACAATGGTGGGAATGGTTTCATCAAGCAAAAGTATGAAAAGCTTGCATCGGACTGACAACTCGGACTGTGAATGTTCAATAAAACTTACTGCAAAATCATCGAAGTTGTTGGCCCAGTATTCAAGCTGACTGTAGCTCCCACATTCAACCTCGGTGCTGGGGGGAGGGAGAAAAAATTGAAGAGTGATCGGACACAAATCTTCACGAGAAGAGAAGAATGACCTGTCCTTGTCCACTTGGCATCAAAGGGCTACTCACAATGATCAACTCTTTTCTAATCCTGTTGCTTAACATGTGCTCTCTTCGGGGGAAGGGGGGCTATTCATGTAAAACTGCAAGCAAGTTTCATTGTAACGCCTAAACAAACCTGTAGATGTTTCAGTTTGCATTACAGCGAGCTAATTGAGCGATCTCCTTTTGATACACCACTCAACTTTGCATCCCAACGAAGGGACTTTATCCGAGTGAAACTGTTCTAGATTCTTTCCAAGGCATGTAACTCATGAGTGGTTCCGGTGACCTGCAACACTACTAATAGTCTGCTTCACACATAAAGTGGATAAAGGGAATCAAGGAGCTAAGTTCAACAGGTATGCTCACTGGATGAAAACATGTTTTAGAGACACATGTAAATGTAGAATGTACCAATAACTGGGAAAGGACTAGGACTCAAATATTAGTACTTTTCCGAATACAATAAAGTAACATTTTTATCTGTTAACCAAATATTCAGATTTTTATTGAGTAAAAGAATAATTTGAGGACTATGGTGTCTTGTTTTTCAAGCTTAATTCCTTGAATGTACAATAGCATCGTTTATTGCAGGTCTTTGTCACCTCAAATATTATCTTGATGCAAGTTGTAAAGACAAGTATCAAATTACACAGTGTCACACAGTAAATAAAGCTCTTATCACAAGGGCAGTAGAACTCTTGAAAAAGTCTCTGATTTTAACAAAATCCAAAAGGGCCTCATAGGCTGACTTTGAAAACTGTAGTAATGAAACACTGTCTAAAAGCAACTACAAATTGTTTTTTGTGTGGCAATGATGGGAAAATGAGATTTATTTATTATTATTATATATATTTTTTTATTTGAGACGAAATGGATCACCCACCTGTTGAAACTGTCATTTGGCTGTGGTACTTTTATCACTCCACTAAAAAGCTCCATGCCAAGCATGGCAAAGATATAGTAGATGACCTGGAATGAGACAAGGGAAACAGTGGGGAGACAATGGAGGTGGAGTGCTCAGTGCCTTTGTACTTTTGCAGGAAATCTTCCTGAACTCTTCAAAAAGCAATACCTGTGAAGGAACCCAGTAATGACAAAACTCTTGGTAATTCATCTTCCAAGGGGCATAGAACTGCGTAACAAGTAAAAGTGAAGAGGTTCTACCCTTCTTGTTCCAATCAAATTCTCAATAACCAATCAGTGGATGTTGAAGGATCTGGGAAGGCAGAAGTCCTCAAGTTGCCAATACACTGTAGCATTAAGGACCCAGGCTTGGAAACCGTATAACATTGAAGCAGATTTCTCTGGACTTGAAAACAAACAAGGGCATCATCAAGTCCAACTGAAAGTATACATTCTGAAAAAGGCTTTCAAACCTACCCAGATGGATTTTGATGGATTTTCAAGGATGTGTGATGACAAAGATTAAGGACCCTTCAAAACAGTTGGAGATTGTTTGGTCTTGAGAAAAATTTGAAAACCAAACCTCACACAAGGGGAGTTGAGCTGTGAAATGCCACATCCATCAATTTCAAGCAAGAAAAGGTGTTGGGTTTGATAACAATTGGCCAGTCATGTTGGGGTGAGGAAACTTTTTGTAAATAACACCGCTTATGTATGCCAAATTGTTGTAGTTTTCATTTAAGAAATGTGCTGCTATTACATAAATATGTAGGCCATATGAAAACAAATTCAACTGCTATATGAAATCAAAATTTATAGACCAAATGAAACAGAAGAATTGGCTGATATGGAAGTATTATCAACGTTATAAATAAATAACAAATCATCCATCATTGCCAGAATGTGGCCAACATGGCATCTTTTTCTTTCAAAATTTTTGTAAAGATTATCTGTCCTCACATTACACATACCATGAAGCATGGTCCTCAGTCTCACAGGCCCAATTAAGGTAATGCAATAGACCTGCAACATAGTGACCTCACACTCTGTTTACATGTGCGCTTTCCCATGGGGGCTCAATGGATCACGTCCCACTTCACTGCAATGGGAAAGTGCTCATGTAAATAGAGTGTGACGTCATTATGTGTCAAGTCAACTAGTTGACTCTTACTTGAGTCAACAGGTAAGAGTCTGTTACCAATAAATTTGTTGAAGGTGTATTTAAAAAAAAAAAGAAAATAGAAAAATACAGAGAAAACTAACCACTAAAATTCCAATGAACGACCACAGGTTTCGTATCAGGCCAAATAACGTCGCAGCAATGACTGACATTGTCTGTAAAATAGAATACCAATAGCTTATGAATATCCTAACTTGACCAGGCTAAAATGATGAACAAAAGCTACAAATCATTAAAGGATCCTTCTATAAATTAGGGGTCCGATTTTGTCGTGTCCCTGTCACCCTTGACGCATGATTTGGTAAGTTCAGAAGGTATTTTCTAATTCCAAAAGTGATTTATTAATGCAAATTACCTGCCGAACAAATAGAAATAGTTTGAATCCAATTTCAGTGATATTTCCATGTCAAGTTACAACGGTCAGATGTAACAGGGACACAAAAAGTCACACTTTTGGACCCACAAAATGCTGGAAAGTAGCCAATGATTTCCTGGAAATTAAAGCCTGTCCACAATTTGTCAATTGTGAACATACTGTGACCTGTTTGCTTAAATACTGTAACTTCTAACAAGAGAAGCAGTTGAGTCATTTCATTTTGTCATCAACTGTGAGAAGGAATTTGATCAATGGTTGCGCTCGTATAACATACTTGTTCCTGTCCCATATAAGGTAATGCAGAGACTGGTACCGGTAAGTTGCACTAACCAGACTACATGACATGTGAACTTGTACTCACTGGTATCCGCACTACTTTTACGTTAAAGTTTATGCAATAAAAGAAAGTGAGGGAACAGTGCATTCACAGACTATATCGTTTACGCCTGTAATGTTAATTATACAGTTTGACAGAAGGCCTGTTGTCTTCTGACCTTTTAAAATTCAGAGCTTGTTTCTTTGGATAAATTCCTCAAGACAGAGGTAGGAGGTATGACGAAACAATTGCTGACTGCTGTGAAGTGGAATATGACGTCTGGAACACCCAAGGGAGGCATAGCACCCCGAGGCGAACGAGGGGCGCTATGCCTCCCTTAGGTGTTAAAAATGTCGTATCCCACATCACAGAAGTCAACATTTGTTAAATGTCACTGGATTGAGTGCTGTTTTGCTCTGTATGCCACACTGTGTCCCTCACACACTAACACGTCCCGTCCGTCACCACAGTAGAATACACACACACCTACAGAACTGGGTGCATACACTACCCACCAGCTAAGATCTCAGCCATGTCAGCATACCCTCAGAACCCCAATAAAGGTGTCCAAAAGACTCCGGGGCTGAGTCTCCCAAGTTTTTTTTCTCGGGGGGGGGGGGGGGAAATGACCCTTTTTGGGGGGGTGCCCAAAAACNGGGGAATGACACTTTTTGTGAGGTTATCCAAAAACAAATCTTTACCTTGAAATGTGTGATGAGCCTGAACAAGCGGAAGATGATGAGGATGTTGATGACACGAACGAGGTCGTACAGAGGAATGGCCTCTGAAAGGGCATTCTTGTTCCTAAGATCAAAGCAGAAAACGTCCACAACAGTCAAAACAGTTTAGCAGGTATCAAAAAATTGGAATAACATCATCACCAATTTTAAATTTTTATTTAACTTCATTTATTACTTTTCACGATGGCACGGAAACATCGCACATAACTCTCTCTTACCCCTGAGGGTTGAACAAATTCCCGTTGACGACTGCATACAGGATTTCCACAAACTGCGGGCCAAATGAGAATACTGTGACACTAAAAAAAACTCCAGATGTTTCAACTTCTTCCAGTGATGGTCCGTTACCAAATGACATGTCTATTTATTTGAAAAAAATTTTGACTCTTTCAATGCACAATAGACCTCTATCATGGGGCAGCCATCTTGCTTTTCTACCATTCAAAGCAATGTAACCAACATTCAATCTCCAACTCATATCATGGTTCCCTATTCCAGATGGCATGTTTGCAGTTATATTATTTAACGCAAAAGAAGAAAAATGGTTGGTTTCAAGCAGATGGAGAACTTACAACGAGGATAATGGTGAGTAGGCCGTCAAAAATGTTGAGCTTAGATGCTACGTATCGCCTGCATCCGTAGGCCCAGACCTTCAAAATCTGGTAACAGACAATGTTCAGACCAGTCACCAGGCTATCAACACTGTGCATTGGTGATTGAGGGCATTGTGAGCTCTAATCAGGCAGGAAAAATGAAGGCACTAGAGTGTCGCTGACAATGCCATAACAAACTTATTGCAAAGTCCACAAATCAAGCCTTTGGCATAAGTTACAGTGTACAACAGATGGCATCACAGGGACGACAAAGGACAAAATCAGCCTTTCATGAATATGGGAATTTGCATCAGCAAACGTACAAGAAAAATGACCCTGAATATTCTTTGAATAAGCAATACAAAGACCAAAAAATGAAGGCAATTGGGAAAAAAAGGATAACATGAAGGATTCTTTTCTAAAAATCCTAATGCACGAGCCCTTCAAGTATATTGGGGGGGGGCCAAAGAAATGACTCACCTGCTCAAACAAGTAGAACAAGATGAAGCTGAAGTTGACACGAGCCAGGACATTATCTCTTGCATAAAAGCTGGAGTCATACTGAAACTGAACTTCCAACTGATGACAAAATGTCACACAAAAATGCAAGAGTGGTATAAAGTCAGCAAAAATAAAAATGTCAGAATAATCTGAAGCCTAGTTTCCATGTCGGCACAATAAGATGAAAAAGAGCAATATTAAATGGTCCCAGTCGATACACCATCCCTTGGAACCATTTTAGCAATACGTGCACTGAGGCAAAAGATGGATGCAAACAGTCCGCAAAGTTGGACCATGTTGGACTTTGCTGATTGTCAGCATCAAGTCATTATGGTTGGCTGAGACAACTATGCAAGTCGTCATGACAGGGCATGCATGATCCTCTCGCCTGAGAACCGTGCATTTTGCCCATTCACTCAACTTAAACAAATCAAACCACAACTGATAGTAATACAGCTGACCATAGGTACCGTATAACGCATCAGCACAAACATCTGTTTATCTTCAACATTCCATACATATAGTTTTTGCACTTCAGCTGGAATTTGTTCCCCTTTTTTGCTCTTAATTCTCAAAACTCTCACTTTGAATGGTCTTCTGCCCCCCACAATGTGAAACTTGCAGGGTTGGCGGCAAAGCTGGGAGCAAAATCCAGATTTTAGGAATGGCCCACAACTCACCGAGATCACGATCACATTGCACATGGCCACCAAGGCCCCAAAGTAGTTGAAAAACTGATGCGTGACGCAATACTGGATCTTTCGTAAGATGCGGTCGTTCTTGGTTACAATAGGTGGTTTCTGGAAATGAAAATAACATTGGAATGGACGTGATATGATGAAAAATGTGTAGAAGACAGTAAACAGCTTCTCAAATATCAACTTTTCAAAATGATGGTACAGGGTTTGTGTCACAGAAAGCAAATATCTGTGCAAAAGCTGGCATTTTCTGAGTGAGCCAGAAAAGACAACTTCCATGTTCTATTTCTAAGGAAATCCTCACGCTCTTCTCCCCCCCCCCCGAGCTGAGACTACGTTCTACTGAAAAGTATATTTCATTTGATTTCTGCAAATGAAAAATCACACCAACAACCTGCTCTCGACAAAGTAATGTCCATCTTCAACACAGTAATCGCTCTGGTAATAAGTGAACTTGATGTAAACATTTACCACAGGTTTGTCTCAACAGGGCCAAAACCAATAGATAAAATGTACACCTGGCATGGATATAAACTCCAACAGTTTATAAAAATGATTCTGATTCCATCCTAGCATAACAAATTCATAATCCATCAACAAATTTAACCCTCAAAACAGTGGGAAAACCCTCCATAACATCAGTGATAAGGCACTAAATGTGAAGTCCTTAAGCTGTGATATCTCTTTCGAACGTGACCATCTTTCACACAAAATTTGATTTGAAATGTACAGAGTTGAATTTACGAGGGGGAAATGGCATCACTATAAACGAGTCAATTCCTCAGAAAGTGGAGCCAAGATTCCAATGCTGTGTTCAGAATTGATTATATTTTATTCTAGCCAAGAGTTGCCCAAGCCTAACGTGTACTGCTATACCTATGTAAATATGCTATGTCGGAAAAGTTACTAAGGTGAGCATAATTAACCATTGGTTTGGTTATCTGTGGACTTACCCTGCGTTGGCCAGTGTCTCTATCGAGGACGTCAAACAGCTGTTGGAAGTCCGTGGATGTCAGAGACCCTCCCATATTCTCATCCAACTCCTAGGCAATGTGAAAGTTGAAGATTTG